GTAAATTTGTGGGAATTGATCTAGAACCTCCTCTCCCTCAACTCCTCCCACCCTACCTGTGGACATTAAATCCACAGATATCCAAGTCCCTTAAATAAAATGATGTAGTGTTTACATATAACTTACACGTATCCTCCCATATGCTTTAAATGATTTATTAGATTACTTATAATACCTAATGCAGTGTAAATGCTATCTAAATAGTTGTTCTATACTGCTTAGGGAATAATAACAAGGAAAAAGTCTGTACATGCTCAGTACAGACAAAACTATCTTTTCTTTAAAAAATATTTTAAGTCTACTGTTGGTGGAATCCACAGATGGGGAGTCCTTGGAGGGCCTGTTTTACTGGCTTAATCAAACTACATAAGAAGAAAAGCCCCTTTTACCCTCTCCTGCTATAACCTTAAAATACGTATAATTGGCATTTTATTTATAAACAGAGTTAGTACCTTTTTCTTATTTAAAATTTCATTTTTTAATTAGCAACCATATGAGGATTCAACAAGGACAGAGACTCAAAAAACAGTTGTTTTTTTCTTAATTCATCAGGCTAGAGCAGAGTTTAAGCCAAGTTGGAATCTCTCCAGCTCTAGCCACAACCTAATCTCTGTATCCAGACCTCCATCACATTGGCTGAAAGCTGGCTTCACTTCCTCTGAGGACATAGAGGGAGGGCACTCATGGCTTTCCCAAGTTTGAGAATCCCTCACTCCTGCTACTTGGGGCCACTCAGCCAAAGACTGGAACATTCGTTTGTTCTGGAGCTTACACAAGTAGGAGCCATAAACCACGACCTTGGTGAGGTCTGATGATTCCAATGCTTTTAGATGAAGCATGGCCTCTTTCACCTACTCTAAGGGATCTGAGATCAGTCTGGACCAAACATGGATCCTGCCAGGGGTGTCTGGACCTGGAACACCTCTTCATCTTTCAGATCTTCCAGAACTTTCACCCATGGTGGGATATCTTTACTTTCTGGGATCATTCTCATCTTGGGACCTTAAAGATGATCTAAACTTTAATGATGTTATAGAAAAAAAGAGGTTCTGTTTGTACTTAGAAAAATTTGTAAAAGTGTACTTTTAAAGGACTTGGTAGACTCTGTCATTGCCACATTCTGTGGTTTTTCCTTTGCCTATTGCTCCCTGGTGGTCTTCGCACTTGACATTACTGCTTTGTCCTTGACATCATCCTTTCCCAGGCAGCCTGATGCAGACAGGGCTTCCCTCACAACCATGGCCTCCTGGGCCTCCCTGGCAGTCCTTTTGTCACCTGCTCCTCCCTGGACATGTCTGCCAGTAACAAGCTTGGCCTTCCCTCCTCTGAAATAGTCCTTGGAGGGCTCACTGATTCCCAAGACCTTCTCTTCCCAGTCTAAGTTAAGGCCTCACATTTGACGTATTCTCTCAGCTCATCTCTAGCCCCATAAGACCTGCTGAAGTTTCTTTCTGAATTCTAAAAAAAAATAATTTTCCCCTCACATCACTCCCGAGTATCAGTAATAGCAAACTGAGCCCATGCTGGGCTTAACATGTCGTTGCTACTTCTAACCCATTTCCCTATATCCCTTTCTTTAAAAAAAAAAAAAAAAATTCAAATTAATGTGAGGGTACAAATGTTTAGGTTACATTGTCTTCAATTCTAAGGTAAAGTTCAAGTTGCACTTGCGCCCTTCACC